ACAGAAATCAATACATAATCTGAGAAAAGAGCAAGTAGTGAGACATAAGCACCCCCTCCTTGTTTTTAATCATATATTTAATCATACTTAATCAATATAACTGCTGCCTGGCTTCCATTCTCACGAAAAAAAAAAAAAAACTGGTCCGCACTGGATTCCGGAGCAGAATTATTGGGGATGAGCGGCGAGGTCGAGCGATGAGCTATATTAAGCAGATCAGCCGTCTCTCATTTGCATTGTGAAGCCGCCGATGAAGTTTTGAGCCAGGTTGGCTCATGAATAAGTGACGGCTTGTTGTTGTGTTCTGCAGAGCGGCCACTAGGGGGTGCTAGCACACTACACCTAGCAAAGAAATGGAGCGGGAGAGAGAGCGAAGGAAGTGAGCGAGGAGACCTACTTAGAGCTTTTTTTTTATCCATTTATTTTGGGGGGGGGGGTTGCTTCTGCGATTTGATGATGTTTGTTTATACATACATTTTTACCAAGAAATTAGTCACAGTTGAAACACAAACTAGTGTACACGACAAGCGCAACCACGGAAGGTTTGCGTGCTTAACCTCCAAATGAATTCCGGGCAGTGGCGCACAGTGCACAATGTTCTTGATATATTTGTTTTTGAACTGCTCGGGGCGGCCAGAGAAGTACCAATTCCTCGTGAGCGGAGACGTGAGGGTCAAATGTGCGGACGTGCGGGTTCAAGCGAGGCGGAACGTGCGTGAAAGTCAAAGGGAATGTCAGATTTGTGCAGAGCGACGTTACTGGGGGCAACAAACTGGGTTCAGAGGGGGTAGGCTTTATACGTGACAGTTGCACTGTGGGCACGTGCTAACATGCTAGGTCTAAAATTGAGATTTTTACAAAATGAGCCTTGTCTTTATCCTCAAGAATAAAATACTGCAAAATTATCATAATGTTTCTCATGTTAGCCTCACACTGAATTGGGTTGTGGAAGGGGGGTAGTTAAAAGCGATTAGTTAACATTTTTCTCTTTTGGTGTGTGTCCCCTCCCCTCCCCCCAGTCATAGTGGTCCTCTACGTGGGCTTGAAGCGGCAGAAAAAGAAGGAGACGCTGATGTCGTCCAAAGAGGACATTCGGGACAACGTGATCCACTACGACGACGAAGGTGGCGGCGAGGAGGACACGCACGCCTTCGACATGGGAACGCTGCGCAACCCCAAAGTGGTCAAGGACAACCTGTTCCGCCGGGACGTCAAGCCGGAGGTCAAACAGGGTCCCAGGGCGCCCCCCTCGAAGGACAGCGCCGACATCCGGGCATTCATCAACCAGCGGCTGAAGGAGCACGACGGCGACAACTCGGCGCCGCCGTATGACTCGCTCGCCACTTACGCCTACGAGGGCAACGGCTCGGTGGCCGAGTCGCTTAGCTCCATCGAATCGCTGGCCGTGGATGCCGAGGAGGACTACGATTACCTCAACGAGTGGGGGCCGCGCTTTAAGACACTGGCGGGAATATTCGGGGAGCAGTCGGAAGCCCGCTCGGACTCGACGAACACGGAGCATTGAGGCTACTCGCCGACTCCACAAGCAAACGTGTAACCTTGTTTTGTTTGGTGAGCCCGCCTTTGGCACGGTGGACGTTTTAGGATGTCCTTGGGTGTTAGGGGGCAGGGGGGGTCAGGTGTCAGAATGTGGAAAAAGTCTCAGGAAGATATGCTGGCCAGTTTATTGGATTTTAGCCGCTGATATTGAACGTCAGCAAAAAAGTCATGCGGTGTCAGGAAAAAAAAAAAAGTTGGCATGTTTATGGAAATGCATCCTTGGATATCTGTCAAGTCTATACACAGCATTTTGCAGAAGTGAGTATACCCCTCAAATGTTGGTCGATATTTATTCTCACGGGGCAACGCCGAAGAAAATTTGTAGAACTGAAGACAATGGTACAGCTTTACGGTTTCAATTTTCTATCCCCTCGGCGAAATATCCAAATAGAGACAGGTCAGGCTGGCAATGATCCGACGTTACACACCGCATTCAATTGGTCATTGTACAAGGACGCCTCCCCTAAAAATTGCGACATGAAAAATCCCTTTGCTGAATCCAAATAGAATATGGACGTGGATTACTGGAAACGTTTTCTGTGGTCTGATGAGACAAAGGAAAAAAAACAACCAGGTGAGGGGTTACATGACAAAATTGTAGAACTGAAGACAATGGTACAGCTTTACGGTTGGAATTTTCTGTCCCCTCGGCGAAATATCCAAGTTGAGACAGGTCAGGCTGGCAATGATCCGATGTTACACACCGCATTCAATTGGTCATCGTAGAAGGACGCCTCCCCTATTAATGCGACATGATAAATCCCGTTGCTGAATCCAAATAGAATATGGACATGGATTACTGGAAACGTGTTCTGTGGTCTGATGAGACAAAGGAAAAAACACAACCAGGTGAGGGGTTACATGACATAGTGTGTTTCTGGTCGCGGGAGCGTCGAGCAGCAATTTTGTGAGGGAACCAAGAATGCCAACACGTGCCGTGACATAGCGGAGCGGAGCACAAGCCCCTCCTTTTTGGAGAACGAGGCCGCGGGGGAAGTATTCCACTTAACAGAGACAGCCTGGCAGCATATTTGAGTTTCCTTCTGTGTAGTTTTCTTCCTGATGCCGTTTGGCGTGATGGTTGTTGACGCAGTTTGCATCGACTTGACAGTTTGCCGAAACTAAAACGCAACGCCACGAAAAAGGATAAATTCTTTCCTGACATGTGACGACACTTCACCGACATCCGATATCTGACGCTGTCATTTAATCAACTTGACATCTCTGTTCCCTGAGACTTTTTTTCCCCCCCATGTCCTGTCTTGACACCTGACTCTGATGCCCGAGCATGTCCTAAAATGCCTGCTGAACATCTTTCCATCATTTTCCCCGGTTCTGTCTTTTAAATTGTTTTCACGATCGGTCCCACAATTGTAACAAAACATAAACACAAAAAAAATCAACGGCGAGAGCATCCAGTGATGTGCTGAGATCAGTCATTCGGTTTGAATGTGTTTGACGCGTAATCCGTGGAGATGATGTCATTTCCGTGAACATCCTTCAAAGTGCCTCAATAGAAGATTTCACGCCACGCACGTCCGATGTTTTTTTCGACGCGAGCAAAACGACCGACGACGTCACTTTTGTGGCCCCCCGTCAGGCCAAAGATGTTTTTTGAATGTTATTTATCCTTCTATTTATTTATCGGCTGATTTATTTGCTTGTGTATTTATCTATTTATCTCGCAGTCATACTTTTTTTTTTTTTTTTTTGTAATTTTTTTGGGGAGATACTTTTTGTAATAACGGCCCAGGTGAAGAAAATGGATGTTTCTGTTAGGTCCGGTCATGTGAATAGACTTGTATTAGTCTTGTAAACGAATTAAAAAAAAAAAATGAGAAAGACATTAGGGCTAAATACTGCAGTTCTGTCATGTTATAAACACATTTTTTTTCTTAAATAAAACACACTTAAACTTTGGCGTCGGGTAAAAAGTTTCTCCAAACTCGAGACGTGGACTTGCAACCTTTTTTTTTTTTTTTTCCCCAACAAGTGATTAACCTCCTTCACACCTCCTCGTACCTCCCTTGTCATCCATCAGATAAACACAATGTTACATTCTCCAAGTAATCCCCACAATAAGACATTCGGCCATATCTCACTTGAGAAGTAAATCCTCCGCTGAGTGCCCCCCCCCCCCACACACACACACACACCCTCCACCCACCGCCCCAAAATGAAGAATTAACAATTAGACCGCTGAGGTTTGCTGGTAATGGAGAAAAAGTGATGTCTGCGGTGTTGTAAGAGCGTCCCATTTCGCGGCGAGCGCTAACAACCTAATGGAAGGTCTGGCGGGAAGCCAACGTCATGAATCGCTTCTTGTTTCTGTCACTCATCAAAGCTTGCCTTCCAACTAAGCCGCCGGATATTTTACAGTTTGATTGTGTCCAAAAGCAATTTCACAGGGGCCCCCCGCTGCATCAAAAAACTGAAAAGTTTCCGAATGCTCCCGAAATAAGATCTCAACTCAAATATTTGCCCCTTGATAAGCTTGAGATGATAATGAAGCGGTCTAACCCCCCCCCCCCCCCGCTCCCCCCCCTGTTGTCAGAAATCACAGTTCAAATGCATCACATTAGTCACAAATCAGTCAATGGCGGAGCTGGACTTTTATCCAAGGGGGAGACAATGCTGTCTCAGGGGGGTCCGTAAAACAAAAAAAAAAAAAACTTGGAAACACCTACCAACTATCAACATCCATTTTTATATTGAATAAAATTTGCTTTTAGGATGTTTCTCTTTCGATATCTTGTATCTTTGAATTTTCTACGCACCGTATGGAAAACATGAGACAGTGGGTTATTGTTACTTCTTGGCTTGCATCAAAAGTCTGTGTTAAAAAAAATTAATTAAAAAAAATATGCCAGGGAAAATAGACCAATGTAGATAGTTAATTTAGAAAACACTGATAAACAACCCTTTCATGCACCCTGTAACCCGATAAGCTATCCACTGTCGTAAACGCTGTCCCTGAAAGGGTTCATTATGGAGAGAAATGTGGGGGGAAAAATCGGCAAATTCTTTAAAGTCAATTATTTGGTCTGGCTCCTGTGTGGGGGGAAATTATATTTCAGGGGGGACCAGTGACCCCTGCGTCCCCCACTAGCTGCGCCTGTGAAGTCAGTCATTATGGTCCTTTTTTTTTTTTTTTTTTTAAAGCACGAGCCTCAAAAAAAACGGAATGCTAATGCTATTTTTAATATTGCCACGTCTACTTGAGACTGTCCAGTAACAAAGTGAATGGTGCCAGGGGGCTCCCAGTCATTGCATTCAAGTGAAAAGGACTGGCTCACTGTGCGAAATAGCCGAGGGCCGACAAAACACTGGCAAGCAGCAAGTGATGGCATTGATGCTGTTTATACTGGAGCGGCGCCATCGACCGAGCTCATTTGTTCACTCCCTCTGAATCCCGCTAGCGTAAAGCGGCTATAAAATCAAAAAAGGTCCTCGCTCCGGCGAGTCAATCACAACAATTAGCGTTCGTCGTCCCACGGGAGAATATAAAGGCATTGTCGGAACCGTAAAAAAAAAAAAAAAATGCAGCGAGCGATTGTTTGGATCCGAACAAAAGCATGTGACAGCATTCAATTTCGGTGCCTTGGAGATGTCGCGTCAGACGTCGTCGCGCTCAGTTTTTGGATTGACACCAGTCGACAGTCTCCACGGCAATGTAACACGAATTAACAACCAAGGTTGTGGCTTTGTAAGACTTTGAGAACAAAATATATTTGGTCTGATAGTGGTGCGGGTTCAATTGTGGTCATAAAGAAAAGCTCTTAGCGCACATAATCTTCTGAACGAAGGCTGTCACAGCTCGTTTCGTGAAGTCGACGTTTCGTGTCGGAAAGTCAATCTATGGCGAGACCGGAAGAGTATTAGCACTCGCCGTTGTGCTGCGATAAAGGTTCACGTTCGCTGTATTTACATGGAAATAATTTAAGACGTGTCGTCAACGCTCGACCGGATTGAAAACATCCCGCCGGTGAGTAAAACGTATCTCCTAATATGACTTTGAAGTGCTTTACGCCGAAGCTTTTTGTCAACACTACTTCAAAGAAAGTCAGCCAATGTAGCAACATAACAAAATTAGAATCACAACAGAATACGAAAAGTCCATTTTGTATACGAATATCAGTGGGTTTTGTTTGTTTGTGTGTGTGTGGTTTTTTTTTTTAGGCTAAGTCACCAAGAAAAAGTTTGAGTCTTAACGCCTTACGAACCAATGACTCAAACCAGTCGGCTGCTTGCTGGATTCAGTGACACTAAAACACACACACACGCACACACACAGTTGGGAGAACGGGCCCAAGGGACCATTGGTTCTATTTTTGAATCCAATAAGAAAGCGACTGAGCTGCCTCGCAGGAACAGAACGTGCATGCGATTACGGCGAATAAGACGAATAATATTGGTCAGGGTCGCCTTCTGCTTGCAGTCTTCCTTTTCCCCAGTGCTTCTTCCAACCTAATTACATTCGTATTTGCGTCTCGCAGTGGGAGGGTAAAGCTTGCACTCAGGGTGTACTGCCATTCAGCTTTACTGCATTCCGCTCTGTGGCAACTTGGATTTCTGATTATTTGCTCCCCCGAATCCAATCTGTTGCAACACAATAACATCTTTATTTACTGGCAATGTTTCAAGTGAAAACGTGGCATTGGTTACTGTCAGAAAAGTTGAGGAAATGGTTACTCTTCCTGAATTTGTAAGTAAGTCGGAATGGGGCTGACTCAATCTATCGTTTTCTCCCTGATCCCGCGGGAGACGGAACCACAACCCACCACTGTTTCTACTCGCCCAGAGTTTAAAGACTTCTTTTTTGACGGTTTTAATGTATTGGATTCATTTAGACACATGATCACCTGCCACTGTGGTTATTTTCCCATGACAAGCCTGCAGGAGGACTCATCTACGAATCGCTAACAATTTGGTGCAGTGACCCGGATTCAAACCGAAATTGCTGCGAAACCATGCAGGAAGGACAGCGATAACTTCTTTTTTGACGTAAGCACATTTTGTTGTTCTTCTTCAGATCCCACCGATGGAACACTTTTTAAATGCAACACTCCCTTGAATTGAAATGGGGGAGGCGGGGCAGAAAACACAAAGTAAGTGCAACTACTAGCAAGGAAGTGATTCAGATTGTGGGAGCAATGCTGATTGTCATGCCTAACAGGTGTGCCACGGGAGGCTCCGCCCACCAGCAAACACACAGGAATGGCAGAGCAGCCTGGCAGAGATCATGAGCATGTCACAGGTATGTGAACGAGGCTTTGCAAAGTGTGTCTTTGGCAACTTTCCGGGCATTAAAACGTGAACATATTTTTGGCCAAGGCACCACAATGCCGCAAACAAACATTAGCTTGTAGGCGCTAATGAAGCCAAACCAATGAGCCAACTGTGTGCGGGTTGTTTTATGGAGCTTCATCTACCAGGCCTGTTTTGGCTTCCAATTTGGACACGCTGTCAGCGACACTTTGGGTAAAATTGGATTAAACAGTGTTAAATCTTGAATGTATTTTTAGCCAAGGTGCCACAATGCCAAACAAACAAACAAACATTAGCTTGTAGGCGCTAATAAAGCCAAACCAATGAGCCAACTGTGTGTGCATTGTTTTATGGAGCTTCATCTACCAGGCCTCTTTTGGCTTCCAATATGGACCCGCTGACGGCAACACTTTTGGCAAAATTAGATTTAGCGTGGCTCTGCATGCCACCGACGTAGCCGGGAATAGGTCCCGATGCGAGCGCAGGCGTGTGAAATTGAAGCGATTAACGATTAACACTCGCGACTGGAGGCCGAAACTCCCTCTCATTTACCTATAATATGAGTGACGGCAGACTGGCGAAGTTTTGTCGACATTCAGACGAGCCGCGTTAGCAAGATAGATTTAAATCATTGATGGGTGCGTATTAGGGCATCTCGAAAGTCAAACAATTGGAACAATTAACAAATCAGTGTGTTTGAATCGTGATTCATTTCAAAATGTTCGCCTCCTCCTCTTTGAAATCCTTTAATCCATATTTTCATTACCTTGGATCATCCTTGGGAGAGAACCACAAACCGTATTCATCATAAATAGCGAAACGTGTGCATGAAAATTAAACACCTCTTCGGTTTTCTGTTGATTCCAGCCGCCCTTGACACTGTGATTTTTTTAATTTTTATTTTTGTCATCATCAAAGACCAACCGCATTCAATTCAACATTTTAGAACGTCCACTAAATTACCAAAAATCTGTGTTGCCCAGCACTGCTGTTCAGCGTCGTATTCTCTGCTTTTACATCTTGACATCAGGCCACTTAACTGTATAATTAGCCTCTTCAAATATTATGAATCGCGATTTTTCTATTTTCAATATGATTCATAAATGTTGTCGGTCTATAGAATTGATGCCCGATGTGTTCAAAATGTAAATTGAATAAGTTTTTAAATATGGGTACAATATATTACAAGATATTTCCAATGGGTTTATGTTATTAATATGAATTTTATTTTACCAACCATTTCAGAATGTAATGTTGGCCGGTCCGCTTTAAGCCTTTCCTGCACCCTGTAACCTGATAACATGATCAGCTGTCCACTGTAGTAATTTAGAATTAGTAACCAGTTGTAGTATATTCCTAGTATTAGTTACTTTATCTCTCGAATGTCTATAACTTGCGTTACATTGACATGTTGGCTGTGTACGTCCTCAAATGGGACTGATGGAAGATTAGCACTGGCAAACTGCTGGCGGACTTTGTCCAACTTGGCAGGTTCGCGCCTAATCACGACTTTGCCAAAAGGAGAAATAGAAAATGAGCAAAGTCATTACGCTGTCACTTTTGTTCACTGATGAGGAGCCCCCTCCCCCCCCTTTAAACTCAACAAGCGCCCGCGGAGCTCCATTGCAAAGACGGAATGTAGTAGTCGGCCTTAAATTGGCCACTTTATTCGGTGCTAAGCTAAGCCGACGACATTTCCACTTTCGCGCTTTTCTCATTACGGCGCCGGCAAATGGACCGAGCTTTGCTTATTGCTTTCAGCCAGGAAGTGCTGTGCGCTCACCCATCGAGAGACAAAATAAATACGTGATTCTTTTGGCCTTTGACTTTGTTGTTCAACTCCGCCAGGGATGTTGATGGTTGGATTACACACACAAAAAAAAAAAAAAAGAAGGCCGAACTGAGCTGAACTGGTTGGAAAACTGAAGATTGGGTTAAAGAGCAAAACATATAAAAATGACGAAAAAAAGTTTTTTCAAAACCAGCTTCGGTTTTTAGTGCCTTCTTGACACTTTTGTTTGCGGTTCTGCTCATGACAGAAATGCCTTTCAAATTGCAGGCTGCTTAGTCAAACATGCTTGCTGAATTTTCTAAATATTCATGAGCCGCGTTATACGAGTTTTTGTGTGTGTTTGTGTGTGTGTGTTTTATGGTGAATCATCAATCTTTGCTGTCATATTCAACTCGCACGCAATGATAAAAACTGTAATTATTCACCATTTTGTTTCAGCCATCCGTCAAGTACATGCGGTTCGAATTTGGGGGCAATCGGGCAGAAATCTCAACAAGTTTTTTCTTTAACCCTTTCATGCACCAAAAATGACAACCTGTAACCTGATAAGTAGTCCACTGAGGTGACCGCTGTTCCCTGAAAGGATGAAATGACCCCAAAATGGCCACTTGAAAACAAAATGGCAGACTTCCCGCATGGCTTTGTGAGACTTTGTTGTTTTTTTTTTTTTTTTTGGTCTTCTTGTGATTGACATGCCTATGAAAATGTTATGCTGCCAAATTTTGAGCAACGTGATTGCACCTGACAAGAATAACACTTAGAATGGTTAATTGAATTCTGTTCCAACAAGAAATTTCATTAGCGCCTTCCACGCGGGTGACGGGTAGCTAAGGCTAGTGGCTGTCAAACTCTCCCGCAAGTTTTGGAATAACATTAATTCTGACTTCAGGGGGAGAATACAGAAAGACCCAAAAAAAAAAAAAAAAAGTTAGCACTTGACACCTTCTGGGAAGCGCAACCGCCCGCTATCGGGGACCAAACTCTTGGAAGAGAAACTCGGTCGGTCCGCCAAGGGCTGCCCATGTCCATCAAATCAACGCGTTCGATAGCTCATCTTCAAGCTGAGGACGTTTTTTTTTTTTTCTCCCCCCACCCCGGAATCCATCCCAAGGGCTTTGCTCGCTTGCCTGGAAGCGTGATTAACAAGCTGACGCGTGTCGTTTTGCATGCCAGCTGACAATCAGCTCGCACCTCTGAGAGCTAATCAATTGCGCGCAAATTTCCTTCCTATCACAAAACTCATCAGCGTTGTTTATTCTTCAGAGTTCCTCGGGGTCCGCTGAGGATAATTGGCCATCAACGCGCCGTCCGTTTCGAAGCCGTCGGACCATCTGGAACGCTTCAAAAAATGCCCGGAGTGCCTCGGCGTTCACGTGCCAATCAACCGCAAGAATGATACGAGTAAGGTCTCATCCACAATTATGCTAAAACACTCTAAGAGGTTCGGTCAAAACGACGGCGACCTATGTTAATGGACTGCCGCCTACTCACGAGTTTGTTTTTTTTCTCGGGAAAACCGCCAGATTTTTGCGCTCGTCCAGTAACGTATGATAGCCTTTGGCGACGTGATGGAAAATGGAGCGTCCGCATTGTCGGCAAACGGCAGGCTTAGTTTCGGCCCGTCGCAGGTACGAAGCGGCACGGAGGAACAAACATACATTGCAAGCGGAACTCAACGGAATGATGCGCACGGAAAAGGCAGATTACTCCCGACAAGGTGACCCCCACAGGATGTGACTGTCGCAGGCAGATAGGAAGATCAGTGAGGTCGGTTCCGCGACTGCCAGACTTCACACTCTTATCCTAACTCATTCCGGAATGCCTTGGTGTCCCTGCACAGATGCTGATTGAAGGGGATTCATACCAGATTTTAGAAAAAAAAAAAATCACAGCGGAAATGCCAAAAAGCTGCACTGTACTTATTTCACAGGGGTGACCGCATTAAAAAAAAAAAAAAAAAAAAAAAAAAATGAAGTCGTGGGGAGAGATGAAGCAGTATTAAAACATCAGCGGTGCATAAAACATATTATTGCAAATATCTTTTTATTTTTATTTTTTACTTGACTTCCCCTTGAGCAGTTACTACAGTGGACAGCTCATCATGTGATCTAATAGGGGTGTCAAACTCATTTTAGTCGCAGGTCAATTTGGAGTTACGTCTTCCCTCGGAGGGCCGTTAGGACAGTGAAACCACCAAATTATTACTTGCACGCGACAAATTAATCGAATTACTAGTTTTGAAATCAGTCACGTCAATGATAATATTTTGTTCAATTAATCTTCAAGTGAGTGTAAACTGGGTAACAAAATAATTGCAAAATCTCAACGCTATTTATTGCACATGGCAATTTGACATTTCAGTACAGATTTTAGCAAGTTGACAAGTTAGTTTCGCGGGCCACATAAAATGACCTGGCGGGCCGGATCTGGCCCCTGGGCCTGGAGTTTGAGGCCCCTTTTTAGTTGTGGTTTACTTCTTGCGTGCCGTTTACCTTCTCTCTCTTTTTTTTTTAAACCCACAATTTGCTTTGCGAAAGCCCAAAACAATCGCCACTCTCGGAGACGCTACATACCGTGGTGATGCTAATTGAAAATCGATCCAGTGATCTCAACGTTTATTCGGGTTTATCAACAAACCATGATAAAAATCTCATCGCTTAACACGGTGTCATTTCTTTTTTTTTTTTTTCCGTCACAGCATTTTAATATAAAGGTCAGCGGCGTGGCAAGATGACTTATCTTCTTTGCCGACACAAAACTGTTTGATGAATATGTCAACAACATGCGCTGACCTTCAAGTTATCACCGCACACACACGCACGGGATGCGACTATTTTTTTTTTTTTTTTTTTGCCCCTTCCTCTGATAGTTTGAAAAGCTGTCGTTCCGCCACCACGACTCCAACGCTAATTTTCCCGCTTTACCGCAACTTTAGTCCCGCATCTGCCCTCCTAAATGGACACGGATGTTCACAGCGAGCTCGCGTTCATCCCGGCGCTGTTGCACATCGGCGGCGTCAACTTTTCAACGCTCGTCAACTTCCCGCCTTTGTTCTGACATCTCGGAAGAGATCGTCTCTGGTATTCGGCGTCCCTCAAGGAGTCCTCGGCATCGTGTTGGCGCGTTCAAAGCGGCTCAGCCGGCTGATGCCCCACTTAAATGACAAGACAAGTGAAGGAGCCGGCGTTTGTCTCCCAAACAACAACACTCGGTTGACATACTCTCAATCCTGATAATGAAGGCTGTGATGCATTCTAGTTCCCAGCTCGAATGGGGGAAAAAAAAAAAAAAACAACATTGTTTTGGAGCACAGCTGTCAATCGTTTTAGACGCCATATAATTACCCTAACAAAAAATAAAAAATAAAAAAGGAAATTAGCTTAAGATTTTGCACGAACCGACATGCTAACTGTTCTAAGCCACAGCGTTAGCCCCGGGAGGTGGGGGCACCATTTATGGCGTGGAAATCCTCTAACGGCAGTGAAATAACGCACGCGGTCTCCTGCTGAAGATCAATATTCCATTCGACTTTGTTTTTCACCGGAATAATTGCAGGACCCTCGGACGACAAAGTGGGGCTGATCTCGGGTTCATGTTAGTTAACATCTTCGTGAACAAGCGTGCACAGCTCATGCAAACTCAGCCTTTAAAAATATTTAAACGCTAAAAAAAAAACAGAGAGCATGGATGAGCGGCAGGATCGAGGAGAGGAGAGCTCAAGCAGTTTTGGGCCCAAGCAAGTGTCTCCTTCCTCCTCGGCGGAGCACGTTAATGTACTCGCCTGCAGCCTTGTCCTCATGTGGACTTTGATTTCCTTAAAGGAAACACGGGGCACGTTTATCTACCACCCTTTAAACAGAATCACTTTTTAACGTCGTCGCTTGAATAAAGACGGTATCAATCTGCATATGGCTTTTAACTTGGCCAGCTTGCAAACGTCAAACACACACATACCCATAGATAGAGATAGATAGACACACATGCATATAAAGCACCTCAATTATTTCAACCGCGCACACAGCCGAGCTGACCCGCAGTGTGGTCGTGTTGCTTTCAAGTATCTTCAATAATGTAGGAACCCTCGCCGTCAAAGAAGGCGATCATGTTTCATTTCGCCTCCTCGCCGCATCAAAGGCGTCCATTTTTCATGAGCCTTCGTTTACGCGGGTGAATAATTCAGCTTTGATGAACGCCTGCCATATTCGTCACGTTTCTCCACGCCGCCCTACCCAAGTGCACTCTGCACGCCATCAACCTAATTATTCATCTTTTAGTCCTTCAAAAGCAGATATATGACGTCTGTCAATGTTGCGTTCATCTAAATAGAGCAGAATGGTTCTTTTTTTTTTTTTCCAGATGCCCCCGAACTTCACATTAATCTCTGCGAGTGGTTCTCTCGGGGAGCCTTTTTTTTTCCTCTCTCAAATTTTTTTTTAACCTTAATTGATGTCTTATTTCTTCGCTTGTCACCTTGCACTTAGCCTCGGAGGAGCTGTGAAGAATATTATGTTTGGTCTATATGCTTCCACTTGTGTGCTGAACAGGTTCATGGAAAAAGTACTTGACACAATGTTTGTAAGCCTTTTTGCAAATGGGCCACACCCCTATCTATCCAGTAAGCTAGCTAGGTGTCACAGCCTCACGCAGCTGAACAGCACACGATGAAAGGTGAAGCCGGGAAATAAGAGACTTTTAATTATTTACACAAGTGCCGGCAATTGAACTCAAGTACAGCGGGCGTCCTCCGAATGATGCATGTTGGGGCGAGTGGCGAGGAAACGTCGTCAGTCACCAGACGCGCTGCAAAACGTCCGCTTGACAAAGTGTCTGCTGACTGGGAAATGGTTCAAACCTCATACATTTCAGCTCATAGCAACTTTCTATTTGCTGTTTTACAGATTTGTAGCTGGATACCCTAACCAGGTAGCCACCTTCTTAAAGAAGTTCATAGCCCCATCATTTGCCTCCCTTTCGTACTGTATCTTTAGCTCAAAGCTAATTAGCTTACATACTAAATCGTGATCTTGTATCTATTGTTCTTTGTTCACTCCCGTGTGCTTGTCCGTCCGTGTGTGCAGTTCAGTGTGTACCCCGCCTACTGTCCAAAGACCGGATTCAACCCCGTGATGGATCAGTTTTGGCCCACTGGCCGAACTTTTGATTATCCTAGTTTAGCTTTTAGCATTGCCCTTTGGCTCCCTGACATACTGTTTAGTGATTTGACATTCCTTCTTCATAGTTGTGTATCTTTCGATCAAAGTCCCACTCTATTAGTTCCGCAGTGACACTCCCTTACGTTCTGCATCTTGCGGTCCTAGTGACACATTACCTCCAAAGTATGTGACTCACAAACAGACGATTAGCTCGTAGCATGCTGATTAGCTCCCAAAACAAATGTGAAACTTGGGCGAAGACCACAAGATAGCTGGCCAGGCACTTGAAGAGCGAGTTTAAAAGACAGCTAATATGTAACATTTAACGATCGTCTTCAAAAGGAAGGGAGGCTATAATTGCATCAGATGATTAAAGATCACATTAAAGTTTTTGCTAAATGGAGCTTTGCACGGCAGGCGCACTGGCGCTCTCTCAGCCATATGGAAATAACTCAAGTGTGGACTTCAATCTATGAATATTAGCATGTGTAGATTATCAAGTTGCTTTTAATGAACTCTGTAAAAGTTGACTTTGAAGCAGCTGAATCAGCAGATGAATGTTCATCAGGAAAATGGCCACCCAGTGATTGCATTGGCTCATATTGTCTTGTTAGCTCCCACTTGGCTCCCTTACAGACCAAATCTTGTCTTATATCTTTAATTCAAATCACATAACAGGAATTTGCTCCCCCACAATCTTCCTTGGTCGAGATCATGAGCGAATATAAACCTGTTCGTCGATCGTCATCAGCGACGTGGAAATTAATAAACGCGAGCGCTTCAGACTGGCTGCGACGTCTAACGCCACTACCCTCCTCCTGCTCCTCTTCGTCTTCATCAACACCTGCGCTGCAGATTTGATACAAGCCTGCTGGTTTATTGAAATTTAACACCACCGTGACATCACATCTATGCAACCCAGCAGGGAGAAGCGCTACATCTCTTGCAGTGAGCATCAGAATTACAATCTACAGGTGCTACTGTCATTTACGCCATCATAACCCTTGTTATTCATGGGGGACGATACAGAGCGCAGACATGAAGAGCAAAAATACTCAAATAATCGCTGCTAACTTCGAAAGGTTTGTATTTGCAGAGAGATGCCTCAGTATGGGTTTAAAGCTCCTTTCTGACTATTAGACGTAGCTATGGCCTTACTAAACTAACCGAATTCCCCAAAGATGCTTGGCACCAAGAACACACCAGATGGCATCAGAACAATTGTTTATATTTATTTAGTTGGGGTTTTTTTTTTTTTTTTTTTTTTTACTCAGACACACTCGACTTTTTAAAAGCCTGCGTCAAACATTTTTTGTTACTCCCAGTTAAAGTTTATGATTCCAAAAAGTTTAGTAAAATGTTAAAATAAATTACAGTATACTGAAAACTGATTCTGGTAACTTAATGCTAACATATAATGTGAAACACCATTGACGTGCTTCCAGAAATTAGCAATGAGCAGCAACACATACCAATTAGAGCCAGACCAGCTCTTGCTTTTCTTCTTCCTGTTATGTATAAGCTGTATCTCATCCAGTGGAGCTCAGCGCTGCCCGGCAATGTTGTGGCACAGTGTTGTACTACACCGAAGGAGCTCACTCAAAATTCAGACTTGCTGTCTACTGTAAAAACACATTTAAAAAGAAGATATGCTTTAAAAGTTTGCCAGAAAATGCTGTGAGTCAAAAGGTTTCCGGCTTTTGCTATTGAGTCAAGACGACTGTGGCCTCATGCTGAACTTTTACCTGAATGTGACATCACCGTAAAGAAGCGCAAGATGTTTCCCAGGCTGTCTGCTGCGTCTTATTTAGACATTCTGTCTTGTTGTGGTTGCGTTGCATGCTGGGACCTTCCCGGCATTTGTTTGCGTCAATAGCCGCTTCATTTCAGCGCCCAGGCGGCCGCCGCCTCCTCTTCCTCCTCTCAGGTGGAGGCGCAAACACTTCAAGTTTGTCCCACAATGATGTAGCAGCTGGTTTATTTATTCTCTCTTTTCTCTCTAAAGAATCCGCTGACCTAAATCGCCCGTGATGATGCTACCATTAAAGGGGTGGGGGGGATTGTTTGTCCAATCAAGCCTGCAATGTGATTTCTTTCTTTTGTGATGCCCTCGTTTTTTTTTTGTTTGTTTTTTTGTTTTTTGTTTTATTAAGATGGAGAAACCTCTCTATTGTTTTTCTATATCGTAATAATAACAGCAGCCAGAGCGCTTTTAGTATGAGCTCAGACACATGGGCACAAGGAATAGAAGAAAAAAATAATTTTAGTCCATTGAAGTTACAAGCGACACGATACGCAACCTAAATACTGTATTTCGAAATAAAAGAATTGTTTTATGATTGTCAACTAAGCTCCATGTTACTGTCATGAATTCTGGAGTTGTGTTTGTCGTTTTCTAGAGAAGAGTTAGAGAAACTGCATGGTATGCACTATTTAAAGTATTCTGACTAAATAAACTCATTAAATAAATACATGAAATGAATTCCACCAAATTAAAAAAGAATAATAATTTTGTATTTTTGGGGGATTTGGTTTGAATTTTCTATTTTTTTTATTTTTACATCATTTTGCTTCCTTTTTACATCTACAACATTCTCAGAGTTTTTTTTCACATTAAAAAAAGATTTTTTTTTTTTTTTTTCCCAGAAATCGGACATGTGGCAGGGGGTCTTCCTGCATGGCTCTATGTAGGACAGATGCGGCATTGTTGCTTCCGGCAGAGCCCTTGGATGCTGCATGCAAGGTCACGGCGTTCGCAGGTGAGCACATCAGTGGCAGGAAGCATTTGTACAGCGGAGCAATGAAGCGCACCGAAGGGACCAGTCTAGAGAGAATTAACCGGCAGGAAAAGGTGGGAAAAAAAAAAGATTGGGGGTGACCTCTGGTGTCCTCGCAAAGCTGCAATTTACTTTTTGTAATCCCCCGCAGAGCAGCCCGAGGAGGGGTCGGGATATTCACGCGATTCCCCCTCGGTGGAATGTCTCTGAAATGTCAGATGGCTAAGATAGTCGCAGCGTCTGTGTTGCGCTGCAAGGAAAATGCAGTGGAGTCACCGGGCTGGCAAAATGAATCGCCTTAACTCACTTCAACAAAGTTTTTTGGCAGCAAAATGCCACACAGAATGATTGCAAAGCACTACTTTTGGCCAAATGAAGCTCCTTAACTCACTTCAATGTAGTTCGTTGGCATGAAGACACCACAAAATGGTGGCAGAGCACTACATTTGTCAAAATCAAGGGATCCAACTTACTCCAAAATACTTACATGGCACTAAGATGGCAGAAAAGTCTAATTTGTGTGTAAATGAAGCTCCTGAATTCATTTCAATGTAGTTCATTGGCGTGAAGATTCCACAAATGGGTGGAAGAGCACTGCTTTTATCAAAATCAAACTCAGTTCGGTCTAACTTAGTTCCTCGGACCAATGTGGCAGCAATGTGCTACTTTTATCGAAATAAAGTTCCTCAACCCACTTCAACATAGTTCCTTGGCAACAAGATGCCACAAGTATCACTTTTGTCTAAATAAGGCTCCTCAGCACATTGGCACTAAAAGGGCAACAAGATGGCGGCAAAGCACGACGTTGCTTTCATCCCAGGAGAAATCAGTGGGTGTAGGAGGTAGAAAAAAAAAAGTATCTGTACAAATCTAGATTCATGTATTTTTTTTTTTTCCTATGAACTCTTGTTTCTCTCCTACCTCCTATTCTTGATTATCATCATTTGTCGAATACAATGAAGGTATTGGTTTAGCCTCGGGAGAAAAACAACAGTGAATTTGTGACGTTCATTTTGTAGACTACATAAACAAGCCCTAAAATGTCCACTGCGGTCTATATACCGCCCCTGAATCCTTGCCACCATCATATTGGCGCTCCATTAAAGAGGACTTGTTGAAGGAGTAACATATTTTGTAATCAAATTCGCCAAATTGCTGCTCGGCATCCATATGGACGTGAGGAATGTCTCGTAATTGGCTTTCGATCTGCAGCCGCCGCTAGTCTCGTTTAGCATCTAATGAAAATATCCTGCGGCGCAGCCTTTCGCTAAAGATGCCCTTAACACCCCAGCGGCGGCTGTGTCCCGCGACGCACACCGATCAATGGGAGGTGGAGGCAGCATTAACACCCCAGCGGCGGCTGTGTCCCGCGACGCACTTTATGACCAATGGGAGGTGGAGGCAGCGTATTCCAAACTTGAACAAGAAGAAGCAATATCGGTAGTGTTGGGTCAGGGTGGTCAAAAAAAAAAAAAAAAGAAAAAAAAATCAGCTTGAAGGGGAAGAATGTCACAGCGTGAGCAACTTGACATAGATGGAAGATGAGGGTTTTTTTTCTCTTTCTTTTGTTCTTTCCGCTTCCAGACAAAAAAAAAAGGCCACAAGGTGTTCTTTCGTTCAACAGGAAGAAAAAGACAAAATGTGCTCACTGAAATTCAATGTGATCTTTGTCCATCAGAGCAGACTTCAATTTGTCCTGCAGACAGGACCGCTTTTTTTCTCTCTCGCCCTATTTCTCGCTTCCATTTATACTCACGATCATATGGGTCCAATTTCAAGGTGTAATGGAAATTTACTAAAGCAGCCCGCTCTGTGTGATCAAGTAATAATATCTCGGTGAAGCGGCAAGTGATTTGATAGGTTTCAGATGGATGGGATCCGTTGTTCTAGGACTTGTTCCTGGTTGGGACGTATTTAGCGATGGACTGGTCAGCCACATTTAAAGGTCTGGTAATAGCATAGGTAAATAGGACACGCCCCTTTTGAAATGCGTCCCGATGGCGACCTACCTGACCAAGTAGGCCAAAAGTGTGCTAAAGCAAACCAACACGAAAGGCTGCGATGTACAATTATGACAAGGGCACTGTGAATAACATTTTTGAAGCTTGATTGACAACATGTTTTTTTTTTTTGATTAATGAGAAGGTTACGATTGACTTTGAACGTGACTGCATTGCCTTTCTTTGATGGCAGCGGCGCCCCTCCCAAGATGGCCGCCACGTACGCACGTCGGTTAGCCTAGCCGCTACATCACCAGCTGGTCTTCATTTCATTGGGTGGAAATGTTTGCTGGGTCAGGATAAGCACATGGGCAGCAGGTAAGAACTGTTTGGCTCTTTGCACTCGTGGTTTATGTTCATTGATGTTTGTTGGTTTGCTTGCTTGATAGTACTTGTGCATTTGTTGTCGAGCATTTTTAAATATTGGTCTGTTGTTTGTAACATTTATGTGAAAGTTGATAACCATCTTACCAGAGTGAATTGTACTATGTGGTGGAATTTCTCGACATGTGGCTCATTACGCAACAGGAAGAAAAAGACAAAATGTGCTCACTGAAATTCAATGTGATCTTTGTCCATCAGAGCAGACTTCAATTTGTCCTGCAGACAGGACCGCTTTTTTTCTCTCTCGCCCTATTTCTCGCTTCCATTTATACTCACGATCATATGGGTCCAATTTCAAGGTGTAATGGAAATTTACTAAAGCAGCCCGCTCTGTGTGATCAAGTAATAATATCTCGGTGAAGCGGCAAGTGATTTGATAGGTTTCAGATGGATGGGATCCGTTGTTCTAGGACTTGTTCCTGGTTGGGACGTATTTAGCGATGGACTGGTCAGCCACATTTAAAGGTCTGGTAAGAGCATAGGTAGATAGGACACGCCCCTTTTGAAATGTGTCCCTATGGTGCCTGCCAGCGGTGTGCCGGCTAAACACGACAAATGACTCGCACCTCGGCATAAAATAAAAGAAATAAAGATTAAAAATAGTCGATTTCAGCTGGACTTACTGATAAATATCTTTCGCACGTGCAAGTTGGCGAGATCGCGTCGTTTGGTCCTGCATGTGCCGAGTTCTAATTGGATTCAGACTGGCTGAATTATTTCCACGAAAACAGATGATCTTGATTGATTATTCTATTATGCTGCTAATGTACTTTTATTCTGTATATGACGAACAACTTAAACACTGTCTACTCAAATAGATTTTTTTTTTTAGATTTCCTGATGTGTGATGGATTAAGAAAATGCTGGTAATGGAATAACTACTGAAACTGTGACACTGTGCCAGGCTGTAGTCAAGTTTAAGTCCACAACGTCTGTGTCCAAGTCCACTTGATATTTAGATCACGCCCACAATTCTGCAAATGGGAGTTTTTCAGATATGAGGGGTTCCCACAAAAAAAAAAATAAATCTGCAAATGGGTAAATTCCCAACTTGATGGCCCGTGAACGGCAATATGAATGTTAAATTTGTTGTTCAAAATAGCAATATTATTCCAGTAGATATGAGGGCGATTGACATTGGATGTGTGCCTAATATAGTGTCCCGTGTGCGTTTTGTTGTCCATTCCGATCGATCGCTTCCACCGGCTTCACCCGCGCGCCCATCAAACCAATCCCCATCGTCATTCCGCCGCGCTTTTTGCGAGCGGCGTGTCAAGCGTGTTCCGTTTCAAGTTTGAGTGTCAAATTGACACCTTGCGTCCGTCCCGCCGCGCCGACGAGTTATGTCGTCGAGGAGCGCCGATCTTTTTTCTATCAGCCGGGAAGAAAGTCAAGAGTGTGACATCCCGTCGGCTCATCGCGCCGAGGGATGAGATGGTGCCAGAATATATTTTTTTTGCGTTGTTACTGAGAAGACGGTAATTATTTTGGGTCAGCGCTCACTTGCTCGCCTTCATGATGCGTGTAAAACTCCTGTCATGTCAGGTTTTAGCTATTCCCTGAAAATTAAATATACAGCTCTGGAAAATAAAAAAACAAAGACCTAAAAGATAATGGATACGTTTGGTGTTTTATAGGAAAGCATGGAACTGCCAATGTGAACTAAACATATTTAATTGACATGTTGTTTGAACATTTTACATTTTGTTCAAAGAAAAGTGTCAATTACCGTGTTCCTTTTTTCTCTTCCCACCCGCTGACCTTGATTAATACGCCGCGGCTTTTTCTGCATTTGTCCGACCGGATGATGCATGGCTCCGCCGGCCGCGTGATAAAGTGGTGCGGCATTATTATTGTTTTTTTTTTCTTTTAATATATATATTTTTTTCCACAACTGGGTCTGCAGCTACAGACTATCAATGATTGCACATGATAAAAAGAATAGAAAAGGTGTTATAAGTGCCGGGTGTAGCGGGAGGTAATAAAAGCCATTCATCGTGGTGTCGCCGAAGCGCGCAGCCCACCTAACAACTTGCTGCCAATGAAGCCGCCTTTGCTGCTTTTATTAAAATGATCAATAAAGTCGCTTGATAAAGGATAAGTCAAAGCAGGTGAATTACTCGTCGCACCCCCCACCCCCCCAAAAAAAAGATGAATGCATCCCCTTTTGAAGTATGGATTGTGAGTGCTAGTATTTGTTAAAAAAAAAAAGTAATAATTGGAAATAAAAGAGATGACAAAAAGGGTTCATAGCAGTTATATGGATTAATTCAGTCTCGAATGTGTTCACCAAGTATAATCCATCATGCCGGCACAAAAAAAAAAGTTTCACTACTACTGTAAACGACTCAGTAAACTGCAGAAAAAAAAAAGTTTCACTACTACTGTAAACGACTCCGTAAACTGCAGTCATCATCATTTTGCGCAGAGGATAAAGAAAACACGCCTGAGAGGATTGTTCTATTATCTGTCTTCCGAGCTGCTGTTCGTCAGCGCGTCTTTTGCGCAGAGGATAAAGAAAACACGCCTGAGAGAATTGTTCTATTGTCTGTCTTCCGAGCTGCTGTTCGTCAGCGCGTCAATTGCGGGGTTTTTTTTTTTTTTTTGCATTTAGTGTTAGCATTAAGCTAGTGAAAGGGAATTTCATGTGGTGTTTTGTTAAAACCTGACCAAGTGTTGTTTCGATTTCTTTTGTCCGTCAAACTGCTGCTTGCTGTGAAATGACCTGAATTGAGTTCAGTGTCCATAGGGCAGCTATATGACAATTGGAACGCACCACGGGATGCAAAAAGGATGCAAAGGAGAAATGTAAGTGCGCCGTCTCAGCGGTTTTCTACACGGAAAACACTGAAAGGGATGCTGGCGGGGTCGCTTGTTCAACGCGAGCCGAAGGTTATTGAGAAGGAGATCCGCGGCGAGGCGAACCACCTCTGACCCCGACTGCGCTCTTGCTTATCGTCACGCGCCGGTAAAGCTCATATGGGGGAACTCCGCAACGTCCAGTAAGAAAAAAAATACAAAAATAAATAAATGAAACGCACTTGTGATTTCTCACCGCGCAACGTCCAGTAAGAAAAAAAATACAAAAATAAAACGCACTTGTGATTTCTCACCAGCTCTGAACGACTATCTGCCCGGCGCAGTTCACATGAGCGGCGCCGATGAATAAATGTAGAGCGCGGCTCCTCGCTCCCGGGTCTTATCTCCAACACCGGACGGGAAAAGCTGCAAATACCGGATCAGGCGGCAACGTCAAAAAGGATTGTCGTCCGAGTGGAATTTTTTTGGAAGAAACATAAGGTCCTGGATGGAATTTTTTGTGCAGATCAGGACGGGGGAGACAAAACACTCCTTGTGTCTTTTTCATTGACTTTTTAACAACGGAGTAGTATCCTCGTAAAGAGGAAGTGACTGTCTTTGGTGAATTGACGCTTCGCCGAAAAACAATCTCTTCCAGCTTATAAGCAAGGAAATGGTGCGATAAAAATGAAGTGATCAGACTATAATTACTCGTCCACCTGTTTGGTGCACGTAGTTCCAATTTAGAAACTATCGCTCAAAATCTCGTGAACTACTTTATGTTTAAAGTATCCTGGGAAAATTATCACAATGCCCCAAAAAAACCCAAAGTGACAGAATTTTTTTTTTTTTTGTGGGTCTACTCATGATCGATATGTCTGGCGAATGTCATGCTGCTCACACAAACTTTGAATTTGCAAAGCACTAATGAGCGGATTTATTGAGTGTTGTTATTTACGGCGAGTCGTCAAACTTCACTGCCACTGCTGCGCCCGCTCACAATGATAAAAAGTCGCGTCGCAATTTTTCGGCGTCCATCTGTCTCGGACAAGAATGGGCCAATGAAATGATGGAGTGGGGAGACTGTTTTTCATCAGTGCCACTGAGATGGGAACAAGTAAAGAGCAAAACTGCGCTTATAGTTGACGCCAAAAATGTAAAGGAAAAGAATATATGTATGTGTTGCCGAGCCATGAATATTTGGGGTCCACTGTCAATTTTTTTTTGTTGGGCGTCGAGTTCTGACGTACACAGTATATTCCTCATAGCATAGCCAATTGGAAGGGCGGGGGTGCTGTCATTTATTCCTGATCGGGACAAGCTCCATTACAAAATAACAACAAAAATGCCAATTTCATTTTTTTTTCTCTTTTCAATCTACGAATAGGTCGATTTATGCGACCTGTTGCCAAATCGCTAGCTGTCTGGTGTTCATGGACCGCTGATTGAAAGTATGTCAACACGATGGACATGATGTCAATCTGCTAAAGTGGTATCGGTGTCATTGTATCGGAGCATTTTGAACGTATCGGTTTCAATGTGTTTTCACCAGGAAGTGGAACTGATGAATAAATAAATTTCAAGCGGTCTTTTGCTATGGAGAGCTATAAATTAAAACAGTGTTAAAGCGCAGAGGTTTTTCTTAAAAAGAAAAAAAAACCCAGACAAAACTCCCCCAAAATAAAACGCAGTATTCTGCCGTTTTCGCTTGCTCGCTCTTGATGATGAATACCCGCGCCCGCTGCAGAGATTGAAGCCATCCATCATTTTTTTTTCCTCTCGACTTTTGTGCAGACAAATCAGCTCTGACGTGAGAAAACACTACCTGGCCGTTTCGCTGTCTGCGCGGCGTTCACTCGGAAAAGAAAGCCGAGATGATGAGCCGTTTTGCTTTGCTTGTCGCTCACATTTTAGCCGGCGGCCAAGTGGGAGCGGGAAACTGCTGTTATGACTCACTCCAATGTGCAATCCAGTCCATCCGAAAGCATCCTCCAACTGTCTCGCCCGGCATTAGCCGCCATATTGCATCAACATTTGGATGTCGCGCTCGCAACGCAGATGGCGGCTCGCGACGCCGCTCCAAGTCCAAATGGGATTTAGGCGTGGATGCCATGCACGGCACCAACGTGGAGTGC